CCACCCCGCCCCGCCCTTCCTCGCCGAGGACTTTATTAGTTTGTCGACGATTATTCGGCCGAGCGAGTGCGTGGTAGTGCCGCGGAGGGGCGGGGCGGCGGCGGTGGCGCGGCGGCGGTGGCGCAGCGGCGGTCGTCGCGCACAGATGGCGCTCCTCTCGGCGACACATAATAAACTCATTAAATGTTAACCTACGCGTCAAGCTGTGTACGTAAAGCGCACGGGGCGTGGCGGGGCGTGGTGGCGGCCCGTAGCACAGGGCCCCCCAATGCCGCTGCTGCTGCTCTGCGCGCCGTTGTCATGAGACTCGCACCCACGATTTTCGACTGTGCTTTTGCGCTGCGCGGTCCCGCTGCACAGCCTAGTGTTGTGGCGCGTGCGTGCGAGTGTGTGGTTGAGAGTCCGTTCCGCAGTCATAAGTGAGGAGGATGACTACAGTATACGCCTCGACAGATCACTATCTCCGCTCCCGTTTCCCCCTTTTTCCCTTCACCGTATTTTTATTGTCATTATTTTTCCTGCCCTTGGGTGGCGCGCGGCGGTCGACGAACCCTCGGCTCAGTCACACGCCGCCGCGGAGCTTACTGGTATCATCCTCGAGACTGTGCGATCAAATACCGTCCGCGAGGCTCACTTTATTTTTCAATAATCGACTCCCATCACCCCGGTCGGTTGCGATTGCCGCGCTTACCGTCCCTGGAGTGAGCTAGGGGGTCATGACTGCGATGACGGCGATGACGATGATGATGGTGGGGATGATGATGAAGCGTGCGGGGGAGGGAGATAGATGAGCGGGTGGGAGCGACTGAGATGGAAAAACGTCACTCTCCGCCACGCTGCGCCACGCTACGCCCCGCCGCGCGACGAGAGAGCCTGATGTCGCTCCCTTTACTTTACAAACTAATTATTCTCTCCGCTAAGCAGCAGAATCGTCATCTCAGTCAGCCTCCCTCCCTCCCTTCCCCGCGCCGCCGTACTCATTGCTGCTTGCTCTGCTGGAAGACTCTCTCGCCCCGCCACGCCCCGCCTCCAGTCGAGATGAGTGAGTGCGGGATGGCGCAGCGCCGACAGCGTGGTGGGCGGGGCCCGCGGCGGGGCGTGGCGGGGCGTGGCGGGGAGACACCGTTGGCGCTCGTTTACTTACGCCGGAGCGAGCACCGGACGACGACGACGAGGACGCCGCCATGTTGGTGTTCCAGAGCAAGAGAAAAGAGGGGGGCGGGGGAGAGCAGTGCAAGAGAGACGGGGGGAGGGGAGAGGGAGCGAGAGCAGAACAGGACCGAATCCAAGCAGCAGGCTGATCTGACCCGTGTTCCAAAGTAATGAGAGAAGGATGCCTACAGCAGAGGCGTCTGCAGTGTGCCGCGCGACGTGGCGTGGCGCGGCGTGGCGTGGCGGTGGCCTCCAGCGACCTCCTTTAGCAGCCGGGGGGCGGCTGGAGGGGGTGATTGCGGCCGAGGAAATGGAAAATAGATGTTAATGCGGAATTAAGAGGAATCGAGCGAAATTAATTGAAACAAACTTGTAGACACAGCAGCAGCGACGGCGGGTCGGGGGGTTTGTTGCGCAGCACTGCTGCTGTTGCTGCTGCTTTGTCGCGAGAAAGGCGAATAGGGGGAAAAGGGCGGGGG